ATAATCTGAGCTCGGAATATATTCCGTGCAGACTTGTGTACCAGTGAACGTCTTGTGGTAACACAGGAAGTACGTGGCAAAGCTTGACACTACTTAGGATTCAAAATTACTTCTTTCCATCATGACTTTACCAGAGAACAAATGTTAGCTACAAGCCCCAAGGTTTTGCCTTTTTCCTTAGCGATTCATTTATTTCTCTGTGCATCGGTGCCTGCATGTATGTCTGTGTGAGGATGCCAGATCCCTTTGAACTGGAGTTACAGACAGTTGTGAGCTGCCACGTGGGTGCTAGGAATTGAACCCAGGTTCCTCTGAAAGAACAGGCAGTGTTCAGCCCTAGAGAAAGTCCTCTAAAAGGAAAAAGAGGGGAATAGAACATGTGTGGCCTGAAACCAGAGGGAGTCTTTGGGGGAAGGGAAGGGGCCAGCAGGTGGGAGGCAGAGGGACTGGGGTTTTGAAAGAGAATTAATACAAACAAAGACCTGGTGTGATGCATAGCCTATAGCCAAGTATGTGGGAGGTGGAGGCAAGAGGGTCAGGAGTTCAAGGCCAGGCTAACCTACATAGTGAGTTTGATTTGTTTTTATACATTATTATTATTATTATTATTATTATTATTATTTTCAAGACAGGAATTCTCTGTGAAGCTCTGCCAATCCTGGAGCTTGCTCTGTAGACCAGGCTGGCCTCAAATTCAGAGATCCACCTGCCTCTGCTTTCCAAATGCTAGGATTAAAGGCATGAGACATCACTGGCAAGAGCGATGTTGAGGGCAGACTGGGCTACATGAGGCCTTGTCTTCAAACAAACAAACAAACAAGCCCCCTACCCCAAGAAAACCAAGCACAGGATTGGAGTTCAGTTAGGAAAGTGCTTGCTTGATAATAGCAAAGGCTTGAATCTAACCCTAGAACACATTACAAACCAAGGGGTTGTGACACGGACTTGTAACACAGCACTGGGGAATCGGAGACAGAAAAGTCCCTGGGGTTTAATAGCCAGTCAGTTTAGCTGAATTGGTGAGCTCCAGGCCAATGAGAATCTAAAGACAGGAAAAAGTGGGACCTGTGGAGCCTTGCAAGCCTGACAATCTGAGTTCAATCTCTAGGACCTGTGTAAAAAACCCAAATTCAGTGCAGTGCATATGCAATCCCAGCACTCCTATGGGGAGATGGGAGGCAGAGAAAAGAGAATTTCCTTGTAGTTCATGGGCCAGGTAGTCTAGAGCACGAGGCATGGCAGAACAGAAAGACCCTGTCTCAACAAGGTGGAAGGAGAGAGCTGACTCCACAGTGTTGACCTCTGACCTCTGACAGGTGTGCCTGAACACACACACACACACACACATTAGTGTGTGTGTGTGGGGGTGTGTGTGTAGGCAGAGTGTAGTGGCCCACGCTATTGATCCCAGCACTTGGGAGCAGAGGCAGGTGGGTCTCTGAGTTCCAGGCCACCATGATCTATGTAGCAAGTTCCAGGCCACCCAGGGCTACACAGAGGAACCTTGTCTAAAAAACAAAACAAGTGGCTAGAGAAATGGCTCAGCAGTTAAAAGAGCACACTGGCTGCTTTTCCAGAGGTTCTAAGTTCGATTCCCAGCATCCACATGGTGGCTGGCTCACTCACTGTCTGGAGCTGTAATCCCATGGGATCTGATGTCTTCTGGTGTGCAGTTGTACATGCAGACAAAACATCCTAATACATAGAATACACAAATCCTTAAAAAACATACAAAACAGCAACAACAACAATAACAACTTCCTAAGCAAAACAAGACAACAACAAAACTCCATTTAAACCAATTAAACAACAGCAACATAGTGGAACGGGGGGGGGGGGGGGAGCAGCCTCTCAGGAATTAACCTAAGGCTGACTTACAGCTTCTGTACACACATGTACGTGTGAACATACATGTCCCTGCACACACAGAAACATGTATACACACCTGTATGAAAATGCCAAAAGGAAACCCATTACTTTGCATACTAATCATATTTATTTACATATTTTTATAACTTTAAGAAAAGGTTTATTTTATTCTATGTGTCTGGACGTTTTGCCTGCAGGCATGTCTGTACACCACATTCATGTAATGCCCATGAAAGTCAGAAGAGGGCATCAGATCCCCTGGAATTACAGACAGTTGTGAACTGCCGTGTGGGTGCTAGAGGCTGAACTTGGGACCTCTGGAAGAGCAGCCAGTGCTTTAACCTCTGAGCCATCTCCCCAGCCCCTTCCCTCATGCTAATTTTTAAGGATCCTAAAAAAAATCAAAACCCCTAAAAATGGAAAAGAAACATGAAGGCTGGTATGGTAGTTTAGAGTGGCACTATTAGGAGGTGTGGCTTTGTTGGAGTAGGTGTGGCCTTGTTGGAGGAAACCTGTCACCGAGGGGTGGGCTTTGAGGTCTCCTATGCTCAAGATACCGCCCAGTGTCTCAGTTCACTTCCTGTTGCCTGCAGATGCCGAACCCTCAGTTCTCCTGCACCATGTCTTTGTGAACATTGCCATGTCCCACCATGATGATAATGGACCGAACCTCAGAAATGAACCCCCTAATTTAAATGGTTTCCTTTGTGTTGTGTAGGCACGGTGTCTCTTCAAAGCAATAGAGACCCTAAGACAAAAGTAGAACACAGTTTCTTTTCAGGGCTGGTCGATGCTAGCAGCTGCAAGTGGTTTTTCTCATTCAGAAAATTTGGATTTCCTTTCAGTCAAATATTCTCACTGCTAAGCCATGGGACCCCAGGGTGGTTGGGCAAGTCAGTTCATCCAGGTTTGATTTTTGACAAACATCGTGGAACTGATGATGGCTAAATTGATGATGAAGTAGTTTCCTAGTGACCTGGAACATAGTAGATTCCATGGTTTTCTATAACTCACCTGTTAATGGATATGGCAACAGCGAGACACCACAGGCTTTTGTTTGTGGTGCTGAGATCAAATTCCCAGGGCCTTGCATCTGCTAGACAAGCGCTCTGTCCCTGAACCTTAGGCAAGCCTTTCATTTCATAACGCTGTCCCGTTGAGCATGCCCTTCCCCACCACTGTCTCACTCCCGTTTCCATTGCTTCCAGGGTTAACACTTCCAGGAAGAGTCCATGTCAAGTGGTGCTGAGCTTTTGTTTTTATTTTTCCCTTGACTTCTTCAGCGGATATTCTCACATTTCTTTCATATGTACTATTTATAGCTCGTCCTCAGCCACTTCAAGCTGGTGTTTGCCCTGTCAGTGACAACAGCTGGTCTGTGTTGGTGCATCTGTCAACTCATTAAGAGCCAAAGGAAGCCACTTGGAGACATTCTCCTTGTTTTGAAATTGACTATTGATGCTTCGTCCCTCATGCCTTCAGTTTCCTAGCAGCTATTGAAAAACTAACGCTGCTGTTTGTTCTCGCTGGACACGTTTCTTCAGCGGTTGCAATCAAGGTGATTTCATTAAACTCACTCCCGGGAAAGAGCTTTCCTTGTTTGGTGAGCAAATGAGTAAGTTGGAAATTCATTTTCTTTGTAATCTCATTTCCGCATTTTAGTTTTTGAAAAAGTCCACTGTGATAAGATATGCACGGGACGTTTCCAACCTCTGTGAAAACTGCTTTTCTGTGAGCCAGGAAGATGTTGGTTTGCTTAATAATGATTTTTAAAAATATTTATTTATTCATTATGTATACAGTGTTCTGCCTGCATGCATGTCTGCAGTCCAGATGAGAGCACCAGATCATAGAGAGTTACACTCCACCATGTAGTTGCTGGGAATTGAACTCAGGTCCTCTGGAAGAGCAGCCAGTGCTCTTAGCCTCTGAGCCATCTCTCCAGCCCCTTAATATTGATTTATCTCTAACTTTGTATGTATGGGTGTTTTGCCTGCATGTGTGTCTATACACTACACACATGGAGTGCCCTTGGAGGCCAGGAGAGTCAGCATATGGGTGCTAGGAATTGAACCAGGTGCTCCGGAAGTGCAGCCTGTTCTCTTAACCACTGAGCCATCTCTCCAGCCCCTTACCATTTTGTGGTTGTGGTAAAATACTCTGACAAAATCCACTTAGGGAGGAAAGAGGTTATTGTAGCTCTTAGTTCAAGGCACAATCCATCATGGTAATGAAATCAGGGTTGGGGGCTTGAAGCATCTGCTTGCATTTAGTCTAAAATCAAGAAGTAATAAGTTAAGCCAGCTGCTGCTCAGTTCCCTTTACTCATTAGTTCAGGCAGGTATCCCCTGCCAAGGGAATGGTTCTGCCCTAAATTAAGACAGCACCCAGAGACCCATCTCCTAGGTGACTCTAGATTCTGTCAAGTTGACAACACTAACTTTCACATTGATATATTGTGATGGCTAAAGAAACTAGGCACCCATCTTGGTACCAACTAAAAATACTCTTTAAAAGATTTTATCCTTATTTTATGCACATGAGTATTTACTGACACGTATGTCTGTGCATCACGTATGTGTAGTGCCAGAAGTGGAAGCCAGAAGAGGGCATTGGATTCTCTGAAACTAGAGTTACACATGGTTGTGAACCACCAAGTGGATACTGGAGATTGAACAACAGGTTCCCTGGAAAGGCAGCCAGGACTCTTAACTGCTGGGCTGTCTCTCCAGCCCCAAAGCAGCTATTCAAAACAATAATTTATTTTTATTTTATGAACATTCGTGTTTTGCCTACTATATTTGTGTGAGGGTGTTGGATCCCCTGGAAATGGAGTTACAATAGTAAAGCTGCCATGTGGGTGCTGGGAATTGAACCTTGGTCCTCTGGGAGAGCAGCCAGTGCTTTTAACCATTGAGCCATCTTTCCAGATCCCCAAAGAAGCTCTTGAAGGAGTGAAAACTTACTGTGGGAAGCAAGTAGATTTATAAAGGGATGGATTATGTGGATGTGGGTGTAGTAGGTCCCCCCACCCCAGCTTCCTGCCTAGTCAATGACTCATCATGGAGGTGCTGAGAACGTTGGCTTCCAGAAGCCATCCTGGTGCTTGCGTCATAGGGGCCCTTGTGACATCATCACTCTCTATCTACTCTCTCTGCTGGATCAGAGCTAGAGGAGTGCAGACTGGAGGGTGATGGGAACATCTAGCCCTTAACCATGGGTAATTTAGTAGAATATAGATTTGTGGGGGGTTCAACCGTGCATGACTACATCAGGGCATTGAATGTTTTATAAGAGATTGGTCTATCCAGGAGCATTCAACCCACAGCCCACGGGCAATATTCAGATGAGGAGAGCTATGAATGTAGCCCAATATAAAATTATAAATTTCCCAAATGTTATGAGATTTATGGGTGTGATTGATTTTGTTTTGTAACTCAGGTTTGTGTGTGTGTTTTCATGTGGTGGTAATGCCATTCACAATGTCTAAAGGTTGGATGCATTTGATAGGGTAAGGTAAGGTCTCCTAGATATGATAGGAGGGGATTCCCACTCCATGTCCAGTATTGTTAAAAAAAGGTCAGAAATAGCTGGGTGTAGTGGCCCACAGCTTTAATCCCAGCACTCAGGGAGGCAGAGGCAGGAGGAGCTCTGAATTCAAGGGTAGTCTGTTACTGCACAGCCAGAGCTACATAGTGAGACCCTGTCCCAAACGAACGAACAAGAAAGGCCAGAAGTGGAGGCTTGTTGACTTGGCACCAGGGAAAACATTTTGATCTTCTCAACCATTTTCCTCCCAAATCAGAAAGAGTTTTAAATTATCACAAGACATAAATATAATTCAAGTACCTGGGAGGCTGAGGCAGATGAATTACTGTGAATTTGAGGTTCCAGATCAGCTTGGGTTATAGAATGAGAGACAGCCTCAAAAAAAAAAAAAAATTATTGAGGCTGGGCAGTGGTGGTGCATGCCTTTAATCCCAGCACTCGGGAGGTAGAGGAGGGCGGGTCTCTGAGTTGCAGACCAACCTGGTCTACAAGAGCTAGTTCCAGGACAGCCTCCAAAGCCATAGAGAAACCCTGTCTCAAAAAACAAAAAACAAAACAGAACAAAACAAACAAACAAACAAACAAACAAATAAATAATCATCGGGTTGGAGAGATGGCTCAGTGGTTAAGAGCACTGGCTGTTCTTCCAGAGGTCCTGAGTTCAATTCCCAGCAATCACATGGTGGCTCATGGCCATCTGTAATGGGATCTGATGCCCTTTTCTGGCATGCAGGCATACATGCAGACAGAGACTAATACACATAAATAAATTACCATTAAAGAAAATGAAAAAGTGTATTCTAAACATGTTATGCACTGTATATGTGCAGGTGTGTATGCTTGCAATGATGTACATGCTAACTGAAGTTTAAGCTGTTGATTGGGTAGGTGACAGTTCTCTGGATCCCAGGGAGGTGGTCCTGCCTAAGTGAGTCTTTTTTTTTTTTTTAAAGATTTATTTTATTTTATGTGTGTGCTCTTTCTGCATGTACACATGCATCCCAGAAGAGCAGGACATCAGACATCAGATCCCACTATGGATGGCTGTGAGCTACCACGTGGTTACTGGATTTTGAGCTCTTTCAGATCCTCTGGAAGAGCGCCAATACTCTCCACTGACCAAGCTCTAGACTGACCAACAAGACAACCCATGGAAAGCTGGGTGAGGTAGCTAGGGCAGGTGTGTCCCAATTTGCTGATAGGCACATGCCCAGACACTGACAGGTCAGGTTGTTGTATTTATGCCAATTAGCGGGGACGTACCAGAGGTAGGCCATCTAGCTTGTCAACTGGATGCTGCTGCGGCTCTGCAGGTCCGGCACCTCCTTAGTGGAGGATCAGGATTCCTGTCTGGCACATTCTGAGCGTCCTAAGCATCCTAAGCAGTCTTTTCTCTCTTGCAAGGCCCAGAAGAGACTACTGCCATGACAGAAACATCTGCAGCTGTGCACATTCAGGCATGGTGGCGCGGCACACTGCTGAGACGCTCACTGCTGCATGCCGCCCTCAACGCGTGGATAATTCAGTCCTGGTGGAGAAAGATACTGGCGACGGTGCGGGAGAAGAGACGGCGGGCGGCTCTGGAGCTGTATGCCCAAAAGACACGGGCAACTGTCAAACTGCAGTCCTGGTTCCGTATGTGGCGCATCCGCCAACGATACTGTCGTTTGCTAAATGCTGTCCGCATCATCCAGGTTTATTGGCGTTGGCATAGTTGTCACACTCGTGGCTTTATCCAGGGTGACTATGAAATCAAAGAAAACCATCTGAATATCCAACTTGAAATTTCCCTGGGCTCACAGGCTTGCAAGGTGCAGCAATGCATAACCCTACCAATAAAAGAGTGATCAGGTCTGCTACATCCTTGTCCTCAGCTCTCTCTTAGCAGGATTTCCAGGTCAACAGGATTAGAGTCAATATGGCAGATACCAGATGCCTGACAAATCAGCTCTGAGGGTCACTAATGTTTAGAAGGAGCTTCAGTGCTGGAGGATTAGGATTTGGGATGGATTAGTAATGTCTGCTATGGGCAGGGGCATTAGGATTTCAGCGTTTCCAGATGTCTCAGTTCCAGGGAGGATTATAAATAGTCTCTCTTGATAATGCAACATGGAGGCCCATATTTTAAGGTTTTGTGCTTGCTACAAAATTTTAAGACTTATTTTAAAAATCATGGTAAATATATGACATAAACTCACTATTTTAAACTAGATTGAAAGGCATTTATATTGTGCAGTTGTGACCATCCATCTCTATAACATTTTCATCTTGCAAAGCTGAACATTTCTACTCATTAAATAGGAATTTTTGTTCCCCTCTCTATCACTGAACAACTTATTTGTCTCTATGCATTCAACTCTAGGTGAGTGACACCCCTCTACGCTCATTCTGGAGAGCCCAGAGAACTCATACAAAACCTATGTTGTAGTGACTGGCTTATTCCACTTCCTCCAAGTTCATGTTGTAGCATGTATCAAGTTTCCCTTCTAAAGGCTGAATAGCAGCCCCAAAGGGCATATACTGCCTGTGTTCATTTGTTGATTGATATGTGCCATGCTGTCTCTTGGCTATTTGAACAATGTGGCTATGGACACAGATGGATAAATAGCTCTTTTCCTTCTTTTTAAAAAAATTGTGGGGGGGGGAGAAAAAAAATAAAAACTATGTGGTCTGTGCATGCGTGCGTGCGTGCGTGCGTGCGTGTGTGTGTGTGTGTGTGTGTGTGTGTGCGTGTGTGCGTGTGTGTGTGTGATGTATGCATGTGTGTATATGTGTGGTATATTCATGTGTGGTATACGTGTGTGTGTGTGTGTGTGTGTGTGTGAGTCTATTTGGTGTGTGTGGTGTTTGCATATGTGCATGCTCACACACATGCCCACAGGCTACCCTTAAACTCACTCTGTAGTTGAGAATGAACTTGGCTTCTAATCCTCTTCCCATGTCCATCTCTCCAGTGCTAGGATCACAGGTGTACAGCTAGTTGTGGGTTTGTTTGCTGTTTGAGACCCGTCTCAGTGTATAGCTCTTGGTATCCATATATACCTTTGTGTCCACACAAAGGAGTAGAAAACTTACATTCCCCTAAGTCCCTAGCATGCATGATTTCAGAAGTTTTATTCCTAAGTGCTCAAATTTGCAAGCAACCAAGATGTCCTTCAGCATAGGGGGGGCTGAATAAACTTGGTATGTCCCTCAAGTGGAATATTCTGTGGTGTTAAAGTGAGACATGAGAACTCATGGAGAAACTTACATGCATATTACTTCTGAAAGGCTACATACTGTGTGCAGTCTAGAAAAACAGAAACAAACAAATTATGGAGAAAGTAAATAAAGTAAATGTCAGAGATCGGCACTCAGAAGACAGAGGCTACAGGATTGCAAGTTCAAATTTATCCAGGGCGGTATCTCCTCCCTCCTCAATACCCCTCTCCAAAAAAGCCTACCAGTCTCCTCTTCAAATACTCCATTTTGCTTCTTCTCCCCTCTACTTGATCAAAGAAAAGGGAACAGATTAGACCCCCAATTTCCTATCACCTTATTCTCCATCTCAGCTCTACCTCACACTCACTGCTTTCTGTCCAGTGAAATTAAAGGTCTTTGTCCTGACCACAAACCAACCCCTCAGATTACACTTCTGCCTTCTCCAGCTGCCTGAGCCCACATACAGAGCCTAGTGTCCACATTTTCTAGGAATCCAACCCAGATTCTCTGGAAGAGCAGTGGAGCCATCTCTCCAATACTCATGGTAGGTTTGAGGAGCAAAACTGGCTTAGTATAATTGAGTACTTGAAGAGGAGAGGTTTTGGATTATTCAGCCCATAAAACGGAAGTGCAAACCTGAGAGAAAATCTGGGGAATATTCAGTCGAGACACAGAGTTGAGCGTAGACAGTCTTACTATAGGTAATGGGGTCACATTGTGATGACCTCATTCAGATACTGGCAACTGGCATTTTCTTTAGCTGTTTCCCAAAGAGAAAACAGAGGCACTCTAGATCCCAGCCAACCCTGACTCCGGAGTCAGTCTGGGCGTGCAGAGGTGTCAGGAGTTTCCCCGGATGAAGCTTTCAGATCAGTGCTGGGGAGAAAGGAGGAGGCCTGGGAATGGGAACTGACTTCTGTTTGTGTCATAGGTCAGGTCAGGTTGGGACCTAGCTGATGTTTTGATGGGTGAGGGGTGTGTGACCATCAATATGCAAACACAGGAAAACCTCCCTGTTGTTCTCTGTGAGCGGCAACAGGAGTCAGCGAGGCCCAAGTCTCAAGGCCTCCATTAGCTGGGAACATAAACATGTATCAACCATTTAGACCTTTACTGGGTCCTTTCTAGCCAGTCCTCAGTGGTCAATGATCTCAATATGGAACTGCAGGTGAGTGGTAGTGATCACACAGTGACCCCGCAAGAAGGAGCAAGACTGGCAGTTGTGGTATTTCCAGTGGGCCTGGATGATGTAGATCGCACTGAGGACTTGGCAGTACCGCCAGTAGATGCGCCACATCCGAATCAGGGACTGGAGCTTGACCACCGCTCGCTCTCTCTGTGAGTAGTCAATCAGTGCTTTCCTGCGTTTCTTCTCCAGGACCCTCCTGAGTGTCAACCGCCACCAGCACTGGATGATCCAGGCTCTGAGGGCTGCGTGTAGCAGTGTCCTGCGCACCAGGGTGCCACGCCACCAGGCCTGGATCTTAATGGCTGCTTTAGCTTTCTTTCTTTTTAACTTTTTCTAGACAGAAATAAGAGAGATTACTCGAGGACCTGCCTGCTGCCAACCTTCAGAGCCTTCTTGGAAGGGCTCTTGGCTGTCTGTCTCTTAACATGGCTCTCCCTTGGAGAGTTCTGGGGTCTAGAGCTCTGATCAGGAGCCAGGAGGCCTGGTAGGGACACACACCACCTCATTCTCAGTGTCGCAATTTCTCTTTTTTCTTTTTTTTTACTTCTTAGTTTTTATTTTTTTCTCTCCCAGACAGGGTTTCTTTTTGAGACAGGCAGCCTTGGCTGTCCTGGAACTAGGTCTGTAGACCAGGCAGGCAGAGCTCCACCTGCCTCAGCCTCCTGAGTGCTGGCGTTAAAGGCTGGTACCACCACCGCCCAGCTGCTCCTCTTTCCATTCCATGTATTCTAGGCTGGCCTAGAACTCCTTTTATAGTGGAGGATGGACTTACATTCCTGTTTCTCCCGCCTCCATCTCCCAAGGGCTGGGATGGCAGGGGGGTGTACCTCCATCCTTGGCTAACAGCACCCTTCTCTTGTCTACCTCACCGCTGCCCAAGTCAAGAGCAAACCAGAGTCACTGTGTACTGGGGACAAGAAGACTTTTGCTGTAGTCATACCACATCGTTAGGGCTTACAGATTGGGGGATGTTTGCTCCCCTAATGCCTTTGCCTGTGTTTTTCTTGGATGACTCCAAAACTCACCATCTGATTGCTGTCTGCAATAATCACGTATTTTTATTTTGTGGTGTGGTTTGGAGCACTTCCAGACTGAGAAGGAGGAGACAGAGGGAACGAGCCAATATTGACTCGACTCTTAGTTATTTTAGACCTGGATGTACCTGAGGCAGAACCCCACACCCGGGGATTGGAGTTCTCTGGACTGTGTGTAACTCTGCTTGCTTGTTCTCTTACCTTTCGTTTCTTTTTCCTTTGAATATTTGTATCTTCATTTTCAATTACAGATGCAATTAAACTGCTCTTGGACTGTCGCCAAAATTAAACGAGAAATACATACACATGAGTAAAGCAGTTCTTTGTATGGTTCTGTTCAGAGCCCTTTAGTACCCTCTCCTTCCCCAAGGCCCGTGAAGTTCAGGATGATACCCACCCATACCCTACTCAGGCTAGATCTGCTAGCTCTCCTCCTGTGTCTGACACAAAACTTGAGCACCAAAACCGATCTATATCTAGACGGTTCACTTGCCCTGATCTCTCTGCTTCCCAAGGTCTGGTATGAGGGATCTGCGAGAGAGGAGCTGCGTGCACATTGGCTTTGTGATATAGGATTAAGATATCGTTCCCAGACTCTCCTCCCTCTACCCTAGTATCACTCATGCTCTATCGCTCCTCCTTTCTAATCCCTTCTCCCAGGGTCCCTTTCTAGCTTCCTTGCCCCTACAGACACTTCAAGGGGTGGGGTGGAGGGGGAACCCACAAATCTAAAGGTTCAAAGCTAGGATCTGTATATGAGAGAGAACGTGCATTTGTCTTTTTGAGGCTGGGTTACTTCACTGGGTAGAATACCTTCCAGTCCCATCCATTCACCCATAAGCCTAATTTCATTATTATTTTTTTTTTACAGTTGAATAAAAGTCAGACCATTTTCATTATCTATCATCAGTTGGTGGGCATCTAGGCTGTTTCCCAGCTAATGTGAATAGAATATTGATGAACGTGGATGTACAAGTATTTCTGTAGTCAGAACTAGATAGATACACTGGTGTGGTAGTGGCACAAATGTTATGGAAATAACCAACCACTTTCAGATTGGATTTTAAGCCCATTCTAAGAGATAGAACCCATGCTTGGCTTTGTTAACTGGGCCAAGAGCCCAGAGTAGACTAGGTCACAGGCTCTAGGGGAGAACTTCATGTTTTTCTGCTAAATGTTTATAGTAATAAACATACTATAAATACCCCTAAGCTCTTATTTTTTTTATACCCATACCTTAGTGCATCTTTCAAAGAAGTGTCTTTTTACAATAGATGGAGAGTAATACAGACACCCAGAACCCCACTGAGAAGGCCATTCAAGATCTACCATAAATAGGCACCAAGACCCGATAGACCCAATCTGAATCTCTAAAAGCACAGAAATTCAGACTGTTATGCATTTAAAAACTATCCTAAAAGATAAGAATTTCCATCAAGAATTTCACAGGGACAGCTTGACTTGGTGGCAGACATCTACAGCCCCAGCTCTTTGGTATTTGTTTTAGAATCATGTGTGTATTCCATTTTGTCTGGGTTTTCACTTACTGAATGCTTTCACAGTCTGTTAATGTTGCAGGGTGTATCAGTGCCTTACGATCTTCTATTGCCAAGTGGCACTCCGCTGCACAGGCCATGTTCTACTTATCTGCACACCTTCTTTGTGGGCACTTGTGCTATTTGATTTTCATCTTTGGGTTATTATGAATAGTGCAGCTATAAATACTCATGCACAAACTTTCTGTGAGTATGTGTTTCACTTCTCTATAGCTAGGAACTGAACTTCTGGGTCCTGGATAGCGCGGAGGAACCATTTGAGAAGCACAGGCACTCTTCTTCCATAGGGATCAACCAGTTAACATTTCAGCTGGTGTTTACATAAGCCCTCAGTCTTTTGTATTTTGCCAGCACTTGCTCCTGCCTGATGTTTTCATTAATGGTCTTCCCGGGTGTGTGGGGGGGCATCATCTCGAAGTTTTTAGTTTTTCTTTTTAGTGTTATGTTTTAGATTAGCTGGAGATGGAGTGGATCTGGGAGTGAGAGGAAGGACTGGGAAATGATTGAAAAACAGTATACATTTATCAAAGAATTAATAAAAGATTATATTTAAAAAGAGTTCTCCCTTCCCTCTCATAATTAATTTCCTTTCCCTTTCCATGACCCCTCCAGACATATAATACACATGGAGGCATTGATACAAGCAGACATACTTTTAAATCTAGGTTCTGTATGCATATCAGAGATGTACTTAACTTTTTTTTCTTTTTTGAAACAAGTTCTCACTGTGTAGCCCTGGGCATCCTGGAACTGTCTATGTATGACAGACTGACCTTGAACTCACAGAGATTTGCCTGCCTCGGCCTCTTGAGTGCTTAAGTTAAAGGCTCATACTACCATATCTGATAGGTTTTAACTTTTTGGAGGATTGATGCTGTTAAATATGTTTTATGTGCTTATTGGCCATTGTGTGTCTTCGGGAAAGTGTCCGTTTTTATATCTTTTGCCTATTTTAACTTATTCATTAGAATTTTCGGGGGGAGTGGTTAAAATAACTTAAAAACACAGTAACATAGGGTCAATGAGATGGCTGAGTAGGTAGAGGCACCACTTGTACACAGGGCTGATGATCTGCACTTCATCTCTGAACCCACAAGGTGGCAGGAGAGAACTGATTTCCCCAACTCTGGAGGCTGTCTTCTGACTGCAAGCTGGCACCCCCCACAACCCCTCTGAATAATAAATGAATATAATAATAATAATAATAAAATAAAATAATAAATGAGTAAAAGTTAAATTACAGCTTAAAATATAAAAGACAAATGGCAATACAGAAGACTTAAGAACCTGTTTTGTCCAATAGTCCCATAGATACTTTAAAGGAAAAAAAAACACACTTAAAAAAATAACTGTACTGTCAAAACACAGGGAATGTGCTTTAGAAATCAAGAACTACAAAAAGCCACTTTGAATAAAAAAAGCATTCGTATCTAGATGTTGTGGCATTCTCCTGAAATCCAAGTACTAGGCAGACAGAGGCAGGCAGATTTGTGAGTTTCGAGGCCAGCCTGGTCTGCGTCGTGAACTCCAGGATGTCCAGGGTGGTGCTGAGGGCGTCTGTCTCAAATGACAGCAAAGAACAGCATTCCTGTTCCATGCTGCCCATCAATGTTAACTCCAGGTGTGTCTTGTGTTTACAATGACCATGTTCTGTTTCCTTCCTCCATGCCACCGAGTCACACACAGAGCACTGGTTTTACAACACCCCAATTTTTAATCAAAAAAAAAATTAATCATTTTGTCTTATATACGTGCAGAACCTAGATCTAAAAGTAGGGGTGTGTGTGTTCATAGGTATCCATTTATATGTATGGAAGGGTCATAAAACGTGAGAGGGAAGGAAGTATATATTATATGTTACATTAATATATAAATTAATACAATTTCATACTTTATTATTCTTAACTATAAAGCTTTTTCATGCTTTGTTATTTTGAGAAAGGGTCTCTCTACATAGCCCTGACTGTCCTGAAACCCACTATGTAGACCAGGCTGGTCTTGAACTCATAGAGATCCATCTGCCTCTGCTTCCCAAGTGCTGGGATTAAAGCAAATAAAATTATTATTATTATTACTATTATTTTGAGACAGGGTTTCTCTGTGTATCAGCTCTGATTGTCCTGGAACTCTTTGTAGACCAGGCTGGCCTTGAACTCACAGGGATCCACCTGCCTCTGCCTCCTGAGTATTGGTGTTAAAGATGTGCACCACCATGCTCGGCACAAATAAAATTGTTGTAGGGCAACTGAGCCAGGGATTCCCAGGAACCCACAGGCTCTTCCAGCATGTCTTATTTGTCCCTTTTTTAAAATTAAAAATATTTTTAAAAATTTCAGACATGTGTGTACTATATTTTTTTCCTCTCTTCTTGTTTTCCCTCCAACCCTTCCTGTATCCTCCCTGCCCTGCTCCCTCTCAAATTCATGGCTTCCTTTTCTTTGTTACATACATACATACACACAAACATACAATCTACTGAGACCATTTAGTGTCATTTGTATGCATGCTTATTTTGGCTGAGCACTTAGTATTGGATAACCAATTGAGGGGCTTGTCCCCGAGGAAGACCGATTTTCCCTCGCTGTCATTAGTTGCCCACAGCTTTCATCTAGGGGTGGGCCTTACGAGATTTCCCTTAAGTCACAATAGTCTGTGGGCAGGGGAGAGCAGGCAGAGACAGCGAGGTAAGTTGAGGCAGAAGAGGAGGGGCAAAGAGGAGGGACTGAATCCTGCTGTGAGTCTGGTCTCCAGACTGCCATTCTTAAACTTGACACATCCACAGGTCTGAGGGAAGGTCAGTCGGCCTGTGGAAGCCCTCCTGGATACCGGACTCCTCCATCCTGTGGGCTGAGATCAGGGCTTCAGACTCAGTCTCTCAGGGGAACGCAGCCTTAGACAGCAGCAGTACACTTCACTCTTGTCCCTTCTGTCCTGTTTGGCTTTCCATTCTTTCTATAATAATTTAGGCTTTCTCTATCCCGTTCTCACAGGGAACTGTTCAAAACTACTCAAAACATGAGTGCATTTTGTTAGCTTTTTGAAAACACGAATGTTTTAATAACGGAGATGATGTCCATGGCAATGGCCAGTCTTAGGTCTGGATTTTCAATAGGATTCATTAGGACTTTCCCCATGGGAGTTTGGGGAGGACCATGGGGACTAGGGACTTTTCAGAGGTCAGGGTCACGATGTAAAGGGTACACTACCTGACCCAGTCTTGCACAGCTGAGGGTCTCAAGTTCACAAAAACTGCTGCCCCTCCCCCAAGACAGTGACAGCACACACTTCCACACAGAAGCACAGCATGGGTACAGTGGTACCTGGGAGAAAGGTTTATAGTTAACCAGGATCCTCTTCAATGAGATCTGCTGGGTACACATTTGCCAAGTGGACAAACGGCATCCTTATGACTTGTTTGAAAGTACTTAAAAAACAGATCCTTCATGGTCTGTGTTCTATGGCTGTGCAGAGGGCCCATGGCCATGGCAACTCTTATTAAAGAAAGCAATTAATCAGGCTTTGCTTACAGTTTCAGAAACCTATTCCATGTTCATCATGGCATGGAGCACAGAGGCTCAAAGGCAGGCATAGTGCTGAGAATTGGGAGTTCCACATCTGGATCCACAGGCAGCAGGAAGAGGCAAGGAGCCACTGGGCCCAGCTTGAGCTTCTGAAACCTCAAAGACCACCCCCAGTGATGTATTTCCTCCAGCAAGGCCACACCTACCCCAAACAAGGTCATACCCACTCACCCCAACAAGGCCATGCCTCCCAATCCTTTCAAATAGAGCCACGCCCTAAGCATTCCAATCTATGAGCCTATGGGGCCATTCTTACTCAAACCACCACAGGCATCTTTCCAGTTTGGCTCTCTGAAGCATTTGAACGTCAATGTGCTTAAAGTCACCTTGCCCAGCAGCCTCTGCTGCTCTCCCAGCAGCCCTGGTCCAGGTCCCCCAGGCAGTCCACAGCTAGTGTTCAGGGCCGGGCTTTGTCTGGTGGGCCTGGCAAAAGGGTACAGGCCCAGCCCCGCTGCTGCCGGGGCCATGCTGCTTCCTAAGCCTTGACCCAGGAACTTCAGCTAGGAGCATCAGATTTTTTTTTTTATTTATTTAAATGAAAAAATCTTATTTTACATACCCATCCCATACCTCTCCCTCCCATCCTCCTATGCCCCCCACCAACCCCTATCCTACCCCTCATCCACTCCCCAGGGAGTTTGAGGCCTCCTATGGGAAATCAACAAAGTCTATCACGTCATTTGGGGCAGGGCCTAGGCCCTCCCCCATGTATCTAGGCTGAGAGAGTGTCCCTCCATAGGGAATGGGCTCCCAAAGTCTGGAGCATCGGAATTTTATTATGAGTTGTTATATACTAGACACAAGTTCATGGTCAGATCTATGCCTTGTGAAACATTTTCTGTCTTTCTGTGGGTAGACCTATAGTGTGTGATGCACCCGGGTTTGGATCCCTACCTCCGGCATAAAAAAGCCAGGATGGTGGCACACACCTATAATCTCAGGGCTAGGGAGGCAAAGCCAGGAGGACCTCAAGCGTGCACACGGCCGTGAAGCTCTGTCTTCAAGACACTTCTTCCTTGGATGTGTCCCTTGCAGCATGGTTCTGGGTCATATGCTAGTGTTATTTTGATTCTCATAAAGGATCTTCCATATTGTTTCCCATATGGCTGTCCCAATTCTTCTCTACACCCTTGCCCACACTTTCCCCCCTCGCCTCTGGATGCTAACCATCCTAGCAGATGTCAGGTGATGGCTCATTGTGGTTTTGATCTCTGTTTCCCAGATGGCCAGTGATGCTCACTACCTTTTCATGTACCTGTTGGCCAGCTATGCGTTCTCTTTGGAAGAAATTTTCTTTTTAGGACTTTTGCTTACTTTATCTTCCCTCCCCCCCCTCCGCCTCTCTGATTTTAAAAATCAGAACGTGTGTGCCTACAACTTCTCCATTCACAGCTTGTTTAGTCTGTTCAGAGTCTTTTGTGGTTCTGCAAGCATTTCAGTTGAGATCTTTTTTTAAATACTTAGAACATTCCCATTATATTTTGCAATGTAGAATTTTTTTTTAAAACATCATTTTTAGAAATATTGTGTTAAGGGTGAAGTGTCATTTCAGGAACTTGAGAAAGAATTCTAATATTGGATAAAGCTCAAAAAATAGAAAGATGAAAAACAAAACGGCACATAAAGCTGTTGAAATTGTCCTCTCACAGCAAAAGAAAAAAAAAAAAAAAAGCTGATGGTGTTATTTAATAAAGTGTGGTTGAGTTTCTCGGTACCATTACAGATAAAAGTTTTTAGACGTCTGTGAAGGTTTTGCTGCGATCATAATTGGGCTAATGTGCCCTTGTATGTACCTGCCCCCGACAGAAATATGAAAGGGAATGCCATGGTTCCATTTGAAATGCCTCCCACCGGATCGTATTTTGAATGCTTGTTCCCCAACAGACAGAGCTCTTTTGAAAGGCTGTGGCCATTTAAGGGAGTGGGTCTTAGCTGGAGGAAGTAGGTTGGCAGGGTGAATGAGCCTTTGAACTTCGGGGGAACCGGCTCCTGATTCCGTTGCGTCCTGATCTACCACACAGTCCTCCTGCCAGGAACTGAGCTGCCCTGACCTTCCTTCCCTGCCATGATGCGCTAAAACCCTAAATGGTGAGACCTAAAAATAAGCCCTAAAATAGGGTCTCTCTCTGGTCTTGAAAGTCTCCTGCCCCCACCTTCATAGTTCTAGGATTATAGGTATGCGATACCATGCATAACACTTATTTTTTCTTTTCTTTCTTTTCTTTCTCTTTCTTAGCTTTCTGAAAAAAAATGAATTGTAACTTAAGATGTATTTCTAATTATTGAAATATAATATGTGCACCAAGAAGCATCTGTTCATTTAGGGACATAGCTAGGGTAGCTCAGTGTTTAGCTTTATCTATTTGATGGTTTAATTCACTACCAAAATGCCCAAGAGTGGTCAGTAAGCTACATAGCTATACTACATCAATATTATTGTCTTTGAACTTGAACCAAACCTCAAAGACTGACAGTTCTGCTGAACAAGTAAACTATAACCACTGAACTGACACAGGGCCAACCTTTTAATTTTATCTATAGTTTGAGATAGATGGTCATGTAGCTGGGCCTGGCCTTGAACTCCTGATTCTCTTGCTTACACTCCCATATGGCAAAATCACCGGCATGTGTCACCATATCTGGCTCAATATTTATTTATTTATTTATTTATTTATTTATTTATTTATTGAGACAGAATCTCACTAGTAGCTCTGGCTGTCCTGGAATTCACTATGTAGATCAGGCTGGCCTCAAACTCACAGAGATCCGTTTGCCTCTGCCTCCCAAGTGCTGGGATTAGAGGTGTGCACCAATATGCCCAGCCCTGTATTTATTTTTTAGTATTTTTTTGGGAGCAGAAAAAATATTTTAACAAACTATTAGCAGCACAAAATATCTATAACATAGATTAAAAATACATGCCACAGGCCCTTTCTAGACACAGGCACTGGGTACCCAACTCCAGTCTTCTGCAAGAGTAGAACATGCTCTTGGTTAATGAGCTACTGCTCCGGTGCCCCCTGTTCTAATTTAAATAAAACCAGCAAATGTTAATGAGAGAGATCGATATGTAAAATAAAAAAAAACAACCCTAGTATATATTAATGGTATCTGGCCTGAGGGTTGTTTTTCACGTGATGCTGAGGACAAAGTTCTTGCGCTAGGAATCCACTCTACTGCTGAGCTGCATTCCCCAGTCCCAGATTTTTTTCTTAAACTGCAATTTAGTATGTATACTAAGTATTTCAGAGGTTGTATCATTAAGAACACAACTTCCAAAAGATGGAAAAAAGATCAATTTTCTTGCTTAAAATATTAACTTTTAAGGTTAGTATTACAAAAGTAACAGATTTTACTACCCTGTATTATTATATTCTTTAGTTTTCAATGTGTGTGTGTGTGTCTGTGTGTTTGTGTGTGTGTCTGAGTGTATGTATCTGTATGTGTGTCTCTGTGTGTGTCTGTATGTGTCTCTGTGTGTGTCTGTATGTATCTGTATGTGTGTGTCTCTGTGTGTGTTTGTATGTGTGTCTGTGTGTGTGTCTGTCTCTGTGCCTGTATGTGTGCATCTGTGTGTGTCTGTATGTGTATCTGTATGTGTGTGTGTCTCTGTGTGTGTCTGTGTCTGTGTGTTACTGTATGTGTGTATGTGTGTGTGTGTCTGTGTGTGTGTGTGTGTGTGTGTGTATGTGTGCATGCTAGTGTGAAGATTAGGGGACAATTTGCAGGACTCCACCATGTGAGTCCTGGGATTATGCGTGGGTTGAGGCTTGGCAGCAAACGCCTTTACCCAATGAACCATCTCACTGGCCCCATACTGAGGTATAAAGAACTTTACTGGATCGAGCATTAGAATATCACCTTGTTCAGAAAGAATATGAAAAGTGGTACAGCCTGGACTCAGTGAAGATTTTGATAGCTCTAGATCACCAAAGCCCATGAGAGCATGAATAACTACGAGGTGATTCCAGATCTTCATATGGACAAGGTGTGTAAATCTGGCAAGACTTGTAAGTGCTGGCAGGAGAGACTGCCTCCGGACCTCACTGTTCTGAGGTAGGTCAAACACAGCACGTAGCATCTCTGGGTTCAGTTTTGTCTTTTCGCAGTATCCTTGGGGCCTCTGCCTTCCCAGGATTGCCCTCTGAGCTCTCTTCTGCTTCCCTCCTTCTCTACACACACGAGGGAGAACTTTTATCTTTGCTTCACCTGGGAGTGAGTGTTCTAGTTACTTTTCTATTGCCATGAGAAAAACACCATGAGCAAAGTCACTTATAAAAGAAAGCATTTAATTTGGGGCTCACAGTTCCATGGCCATCATGCTGGGGAACACGGCAGTGGTCAGGCAGACGTGGCACTGGTATGGCTGCTGGGAATTCATATCTGATCCATAAGCACGAGGCAGGAGAGACTGGGAAACACCTCCTCCAAAAAGCCACGCCACATTATCCTTCTCAAACAGGTTCCACCAGCTGGGGAGCAAGCATTGAAATCTAGGAGCCCATAGGGCCGTTCTCATCAAACACCACATTGCATCTGAGAGTCGAGGCCTTGCCTCACTTCCGGTTTGCTCTCCCTGCTTCCTGTTTGTGGTGATTTTCAGCTTCTTGCTCCTGCCACCATGACTGCCCCGTGACTGATGCCCCATGATTGATGCTTCCTCCTTGCCATGAGGGACTCTTGTCTCTCTGGAGCTGTAAACCCAAGTAACTCTTTTCCATAAGTGGCTTTGGCCCGTTATGTTTTCTCACAACAGAAGAGTTCACTAATACAGTGACCATCATTGTGATCTCCTTCTAGGATGTTCTCATCATTCAAAACAAAGACAAAAGTCACTTCGAGCAAAAACCCTTTACCAGTCACTTTTTCCCGCTGACGCTAGCAGCTACTAGTTTATTTATAACTCTGTAATTTACCTCTCTGGGGCATTTTATATAAATTTTATATAACTCTGCAATATGTGTCTGTCTTTCACTTAACATAATGTTTTCAAAGTTAGCTTATGTCGTTTTGTTTTTAAAGTTAGTTTATGTCGTAGAACTTCTGGTTTTCACATTTGTTCTCTCCTCTCTCTGTGTGAACTTGTAAGCATGTACTGCATGTGCCACAGGTCAGACGGCAATTTTTTCCCCTCATTTTTTTTTTATGTTTTCTAAGAATTTTCTGCGATGTATTTTGATCCTATTCACTTCCTCACCCCTCCCAGATTCACCCACCCCCTTTCAGCTGACTCAACTGTGTCCCCCCCCCCAACAAGTACAATTTGTTCTGCCAGTAATACTCTTGTATCACTGGGGGATAGTCGACTCACCAGGCTGCACCTTAAACACACACACTCCCTCCCAGCAGCTAACGGGTGCCAATAGCTCTTTAGCTAGGGATGGGACTTCATGCCCACCTCCCCTTTGTATGCTGGGATTTTGTTGTGGGAGATTATGCAGGTTTTGTACATGCTGTCTCAATTTCT